CCCCGCCCTTCCCGAAGCCCGCGGAGGCATCCTGGAAGTTGGATTCCAACGTGGGTCTGTTACTAGAGGGAGGGTCATGAAACAAACGTTGAAACACACATTATGCCTATATGTGCGCAGGCGGTCGGGCAAATCGGGGCGGCATCAACGACGCCAAGGGTCGTCGTGGACTCGAGCCTCTGGCCTGGAAGCACGAGGCGCACGATTGCCTACATGATGAAGTTCTGCAACCGCTCGCTGCGTTCTGGGGGGGCGCACGGACGCGCAGAACACTGTTCAGCTAATCGTTAGCTGGCGCCCGCCTCGAACTCATGCCTCGTCCCCCGCCTCCCCCCAATATCCGTTCGCCTTGGCCCCGTCCTCCTCGCGCGCGCGCCCCTCCGAATGCCCCCCCCCCCCAGTCCTCATCGCGCCCCTCCCCCCCCCCCCCCACCCCCCCCCCCCGTGCCAATTCACATCGTTCCTCGTCGTCCTCCTCCGCCGGATAAGTTCCCCCATCGCGCGTGCCCCCCCCCCCCCTCCCGCCCTAGTGCAGATCATGCCCCCTCCTTCTGCCCCCCCGCCTCCCTCGCCCTGGCAACGCTGACGCCGATGATGCAGCTCCTCCTGCCCCCCCCCCCCCCCTCCTCGTCCAGTCCCGTTCATCCCTTGCCACTCGGCCACCCCTCCTATCGAACCCCTTCCTTCCCGCGGCCCACCGCCCCCGCCCCCCCCGCGCCTGTGCGCCCCCAGACCGCGGCCCCCTCCTGGGCCAGCCTGGGGGCCCGAGGACACTCCCGCCCAATGGCGCTCCAGCAAGCGGCGCGCGACAGATGCACAGTTGGAGACACGAACTGTGCATTTCGACCGCGCGCGGCGCCCATCCCGGACCGGCCGAGAGAGAGACGTGAAAGTTCCCGCCCAACCAACAGGGGCAGACTCCAAATACACAAATGGGAACGAAATCTGCACACACAGATCACACCGCGACCTGTGTAAACAGCGGGCCCACACACGAAAATGCAGTGTTAAAGACACAGGTTGTGTACACAGATCACACCTTGATCTGTGTATTTCGAAGAAATAAAAGCTCGCCGCCTCGAGCGCGCCCCGACTTCGCCAACCCAGAACCGAGGTCGACATGCCCAGCTAGGGGGGGTGCAAATGCGCACTTCCCCGGCCCAGGGCGCCCCCGAGGGAGCTGCAAATGCGCGCTTCCCTGGCCCAGGGCGGCCGCGGTGAAACGCGGCGCCAGCGTGGCCCCCAACGGCCCGAAAACGCCCTAAGAGGGCCCCGAAGGGCCCCGCAGAAGGCCGCGCGGCAATCCGAAAACATGAGAGGTGTCACATGTCATGGACACCCTAACAATCGAAGCTCCGCGCGTCGCCATGCAGGCCGCTGCGCCGGCAGCGGGGCGGACCTTGCCGTGGGCGCCTATAATTTACATGTTGGCGATGCGACTGTGCTCAGCGGCCGCGCCGCCCGCGTTTGGGGCGCGCCCCGAACGCTCGCATTGGCGATCCCCTCTGTTTGGTTGCGCCGCTGAGCTCGGGCATCGAAAAGGCGACGCGCCGCTGATGCGGGCGCGCGGCACCAGGGGTTTCACTTTTCGAGCAAGGCGGACAGGCGAGGTAGGGCGACGGACGGTGGAGCAGGGAAGCAAAATGGAACGAGGAATAATGGGGGGGGCGGGCAGGGGCGCCCCCCCGCCCGAGCCGCGGGCGCTTTCGGCGCCATCCAGGGGGCAGAAGAAAGGAAAGGGAACGGAGCAAGGGCGAGGGCGACGACGGGAAGCAAACTGTCCTGGGTCCGCATATAGCCATATGCTTGCGATCCCGGCGCGCGCGCGCATTCTTCGGGGCACTCCAAGCTCGACCCGTGCTGAATTCGCGAATTCCCCCAAACTGTGTAAACGCTCTGTCCTCTGGACCCCCATCCTATGCAACTGCCCCAGAACAGAGAGGCAGTGGATTCCAACCTGGAAGTCGTTCTCGGACAGGGTGGCCATGGAAGCGCGGTAGCTCTTGCCGTTGCCTTTGCCCTTCCGCTCGATGGCCCTCCGACCGTGGCGCGCGGGCGTGGGGTTGTTGAAACTGCGCCGGCGCGCGTCGGCGCGCTCGCACTCCCGGATAAGGCGCGCGCCGCGCTGCCCCGCGGGAATTTCACGTTACTCGGGGTCGTCGGCAGCTACGTCCTCGCCGAATGAGCTGGCGGCGTCGACGACGGTGCCTGAATCGATCTCCGCGTCTGCGCGCGGCCCCCTGCGCCGGCGGCGCCGCGGTGGATGGCGCGGCCTCGGAGCACAAGGGTTTGGCGCCGACGCCGACGCAGCAGGGCCCATGCCGCCCCCCCTTTGCTCCTGCGCGGGCGCGCCTGTAAGGGGCGCGTGCAGTGGGGCGGCGTGGGCCGCGGAGGCGAGGTTGCCTGGCGATCCCTCTATCACGTGCCCAAAACGTCAGCTCGCCCGTCAGGTAGGCGAGCTGCTGAGTCTTCGCGGGGCAGGTGACGTTGCAAAGCTGCAGGAGCATGGTGAGTTGAGTATTCGACGCGCCGACGGCGCGCGGCAGGAGGAAGCTGAGCCCCTCGTGGCCGGTCATGAATTGCCAGGCTTGCTGCGCCCGGTCGCGGAAGGCGCCGAACCTCGCCAGGAGGTCGTCGGCGCGCTCCTGTGGCGGTCGGTTGATGGCCAGAGCCACCGCCGCGGAAGCGCGCTCCTCCTCGCCTGGCTGGGCCCGTCGTTCGGCCAAGCTGTGCAGGCGGAAGGCCATCGTCGGTGGCGCTGGGTTGCCGCTGATGCGACCTCCCTGGGTCAGGGCAGCTGGCGGCCAGTCGTCCGCGCGCTCGCGCGCCCTGCGGATAAGGCGCGACGAGGCGCGGGCTGCCTGGCGGAACTCGTCGAGGTCGAAGTTCGTCACTGACCCGATCATCACATCGCGCGCCCATTTCTGGAGAAGGCACGCGAGCTTGGTTCTCGGGCCCCCAGCTTCGGAGGTCGCGCGCGTTGCCGCTGCCGCCGCCTGTATCCACGCAGGCGATGCAGCTTGCGATGGCACGCGTGCAAGCTCCGATGGCCTTCCATCCAGAGCGCAGCCCCCTCCGCCGGTAGTAGAGGCGCAGGGGGCCAGGGATCCTCGAGCGGCGTTGCATGAGTCGCCGAGGATACTTGCCGCAGATGTGTTCCTCCTCGCCAACGCTTTGGGCGTCGGCTTCTGTTGCGTCGCTGTAGCGCTCGCGATGCTCGGGGCATCCCGCGACAAAATCACGGGGATGCTCTTCGCATGGCGTGTGGTCACTGTGCTGAGCGCCGCTAACCACGCGATCATCTAAAGGAAGCGCATCGGGATCCCATCCTGTCCGGCTGGCGGGTCTGAGTAGGCCATGTGTAGGATCGGGTCCCGAGGTTTGGTGCTTCGGAATGTTGCGTCCCGGTCGCCATGCCCCCCGCTGCCTCCCCGTTCGGCATCGGCGACGCAGTCGCGGGATGCTTCTCGTCAGTTTGCTTCTCTCAGGGATGTCGAGAAGCAGTCCCAAAAAACTCGGGACCTTGTCATGGCACCGCAAATGTGAACGTTGTGTTGAACAGCTGTCTAACACCCGCGGCTACTCTCACAGTGGCACTGACAATTTGGGGTCCGCGAAGTGCCTGGGCACAATCCGAGCATGCCGGGGATGGGTCGAACAGCGGTCCTTGTAGATCTTGGTGGTGTTGTCCTTGATGAAGTACTGGTTGTGCATGTTCTCGGTCACTGGCCCTGACCGAGAGAAAAAACAAATGCACGAAGCCGATGAGGTTGAAACAGTTGACCGAAAGCGAAGAAGGCGGAGGATGGAAGAAATTGCGGTCGACGCCAAGCTACACATGGCGGCAGTGGTGGGAGCAGGGGCGCACCTGCTCCGCGACCAATCAGAAGTGAAAATGTATATGGGAAGATGTGAACGCTCAGATTTCTGTGAACGCGGAGTGTGGTATATGTGAGGTACCTCAACGCGCGTCTAAGTAGTGTTTAAGGCGGGCACGGGAACACTGCAGGCTCCCGTGCCCCCCAGGCCAACAATGCAGCGGACAGGCTGGGTTAGAAACAGGCAGAGCACTAGGAAGGGGGACAGACCTAGCGTTCGAATAGGAGTAGGAGGAGGAGGAGGAGGGGGAGGAAGAGGAGAAGGAGGAGGAGGAGGAGGAGGAGGAGGAGGAGGAGAAGCCCCCGAGTTGCAGCTGAGCGCATGCCCCTCAAGTGCACAGCTACTGCATGAGGTCCCGCGTCTGGTGACAGGAGGAGTCCAATGGGGGGACGGTATTGTGTTCACCCACGACCCAAAGGTCCAAAAGGCGCATCTGGACGCGTGCTGGGGAGGGGAGGCCGCCTGGGGTATGGTGTCGGGAATTACCCCTGGCCCGACCCCCTCGCCAACTGGACCGCCTTTTCCTGGAGTGGCAGTCCGGCACTCTGAAGGGGACTCGCTGGCTGCCCCAACGTTGGGGTCGCCCTGACCCCCCTCCTCTTGCATGAATTCGGAATTCTGTGCGTGACTTTCACCTTTTCATCTTCTGGCACGGGCTCAAACTTTTAAGCCCCAAGGAGCGAGCGAGCGAGCGAGCGAGGAGGAGGAAGAGGAGGAGGAGGAAGAGGAGGAGGAGGAGGAGGAGGTGGAGGAAGAGGAGGAGGAGGAGGAGGAGGAGGAGGAGGAGGAAGAGGAGGAGGAGGAGGAGGAGGAGGAGTAGTAGTAGTAGGAGGAGGAGGAGGAGGAGCAAAAGGAGGAGGAGGAGGAGGAGGACAGGGAGGAGGAGGGGGGATGCGGCCACAGGCGGCGGCAATGTACGCCCCAACATTTGGCACGAAGTAAGCGGGTCCTGAGGGAAGCGGGTCCTGGATCTGGGGGTCTTCCTCCAGGACCAGCCTTTCATCCTGAATCAATGTGTTGACGGCCCCGTGGCCCGATGGGGGCCTCAGGAACCCGAAAACGGCAAAGAACAAGACGACCCGCTTGCTTCATGGCGAAGCGCCTGCGAGTCTCCCCCGATCCTTATAGGCGGCCTCGATGAGTTCGCGGCTCACAACTGACAGGCTCCTGCAAGGGCAGAAGAAACAACAAACAACATGAACATACACTTTCGGAAACCCGCGCGGATCTATTGGATCCGCGTCGGACCCTCTTCCCGCAGAGCACGCCAGGGGCGCCGCTCGGGGTGCTGCCAAGGGGGTCCTCCTCCTTGCTCCTCCACCTGGCGGCGCCCCCAGCGCGCTCCACGCGCCAGGCCAACGCCGATGCAAGAGACCCGCGCGGACCTCCGAACATGTATATGTCTATGCCGATGCCGATGCTTTTCTTCGGGGTGAGAACGGGCGCGAACGACGGCACACGGCGCCGCCGAAACCGTATCGGGCCAGCCGAAGCTGATATCGAATCGAATCAATCGGATCGGAATGGCGGGTTCTGGAAACCTTGAATCCAAACATGTGGCAACATCGTGAAATTCGGTTAGAGGAACCACCCTCGTGTTGCTTCCGCCGGCTTCCGCCGACGAAAACGTGTCAGCTTCCCGGTCCCTCGAAAACGAAACCTTGCTGGAACGCCTTGAACCTTGACATCCTCCGTTTTTTGTTGTTGCTGTTAATTCCCAACCATCCTGTGGCTTTGGGTCCTCGTTTTGAAGAGACGGTCCCCGCGTTGTTTCCTCCTCCCTCGTCCCCTCCCTTCTCCCTCCTCCCGTCAACCGCCCGTATGCGTCAACCACCACCCAGCAACGTTCCCCCTCCCTGCGTTTCACCTAACCAGTACAGCGCTTCGTGGCCCAATAGGGAGCCCCACCGAAGGTTCCAGTGGCACCGCCCGCATGCGTGAACCACCACCCAGCACACCCCTTCCTTCCTGCGCTTCACCCACCCAATACAACTTTTCGTGGCCCAAATGAAGGGCTCCACCCAAAGTCCCACTGGCACCGCCCGCGTGCGTCAACAATCGCCCAGCACAGCCTTTCCCCATTGCGATTCACCCACCCAGTACAACGCTTCGTGGCTCCATACGAAACTCCACCCAAGGTCCCAGTGGGACCGCCCGCATGCGTCAACTACCACCCAGCACAACCGTTCCTCCCTGCGTTTCACCCACCCAAAACAGCGCCTCGCGGCCCCATAGGGAGATCCACCCAAGGTCCCCCTGGGATCGCCCGCGTGCGCCAACCACCACCCAGCACAGCCCCTCCCCCTCTGCGTATCACCCACCCAGTACAACGCTTCGTGGCCCAATAGGAAGCCCCATCGAAGGTCCCAAGGGCACCGCCCGCATGCGTCAAATACCACCCATCACAGCCGTTCCTCCGTGCGTTGCACCCACCCAAAACAACGCTTCGTGGCCCCATGGGGAGCTCCACCCAAGGTCCCAACGGGACAAGCCGCATGCGTCAACCACCACCCAGCACAGCCCTTCCTCCCTGCGTTTCACCCACTCAGTACAGCGCTTCGTGGCCCCATGAGGACCTCCACGCAAGGTCCCAGTGGCACCGCCCGCATGCGTCAACCACCACCCAGCACAGCCCTTCCTCCCTGCGTTTCACCCACCCACTACAGCGTTTCGTGCCCCCATAGGGAGCCCCACCGAAGGTCCCAGTGGCACCGCCCGCATGCGTCAACCACCACCCAGCACAACCCTTTCCTCACTGCGTTTCACCCACCCAGTCCAGCGCGCCGTGGCCCCAAGAGGAACCCCAACGAAGGTCCCAGTGGCACCGCCCGCATGCGTCAACCACCACCCAGCACAGCCCTTCCTCCCTGCGTTTCACCCACCCAATACAGCGCCTCGCGGCTCCATAGGGGGCTCCACCCAAGGTCCCAGCGGGACAACCCGCATGCGTCGACCATCACCCAGCACAGCCCTTCCTCCCTGCGTTTCGCCCACCCAGTACCGCGTTTCGTGGCCCCATAGGGAGCTCCACCGAAGGTCCCAGTGGCACCGCCCGCATGCGTCAACCACCACCCAGCACAGCCCTTCCTCCCTGCGCTTCACACATCCAGTACAACGCTTCGTGGCCCCATACGAAACTCCACCCAAGGTCCCAGTGTGACTGTCCACATGCGTCAACCACCACCCAGCACAGCCCTTCCTCCCTGCGTCTCACCCACCCAGTACAGCGCTTCGTGGCCCAATGGAGAGCTCCACCGAAAGCCCCAGTGGCACCGCCCGCATACGTCAACTACCACCCAGCACAGCCGTTCGCCCCTGCGCTTCGCCCAGCCAGTACAGCGCTTCGTGGCCCAATAGGGACACCGCCCGCATGCGTCAACCATCGCCCAGCACACCCTTTTCCTCCCTGCGATTCTCCTGCCCAGTACAGCGCTTCGTGGCCCCATAGGGAGCTCCACACAAGGTCCCAGTGGGACCGCCCGCATGCGTCAACGACCACCCAGAACACCTCTTCTTCCCTGCGTGCCACCCACCCACTACAACGCTTCGTGGTCCCATAGGGAAGCCCGCCGAAGGTTCCAGCGGGACAGCCCGCACGCGTCAACCACCACTCAGCACAGCCCTTCCTCCCTGCGTCAACCACCACCCAGTACAGCGTATCGTGGCCCGTAGGGAGCTCCAGCGAAGGTCCCAATGGCACCGCCCGCATGCGTCAACCACCACCCAGCACACCCCTTCCTCCCTGCGTTTCACCCACCCAATACAACGCTTCGTGGCCCAATGGGAAGCCCCATCGAAAGTCCCCGTGGGACCGCCCGCATGGGTCAACTACCACCCAGCACAGCCCTTCCTCCCTGCGTCTCACCCACTCAGTACAGCGCTTCGTGGCTTCATATGTGAGCCCCGCCGAACGTTCCAGTGGCACCGCCCGCATGCGTCAACCACCACCCAGCACAGCCCTTCCTCCCTGCGTTTCACCCACCCAGTGCAACGCTTCGTGGCCCCATCGGGAGCCCCACCGAAGGTCCCAGTGGCACCGCCCGCATGCGTCAACCACCACCCAGCACAGCCCTTCCTTCCTGCGAGTCACCCACCGAGTACAGCGCTTCGTGGCTTCATATGAGCCCCCATCGAAGGTCCCAGTGGCACCGCCCGCATGCGTCAACCAGCACAGCCTTGCATCCCTGCGATTCACCCACCCAGTGCAACGCTTCGTGGCCCCATCGGGAGCTCCACCGCAGGCCCCAGTTGCACCGCCCGCATGCGTCAGCAACCACCCAGCACATCGCTTCGTGGCCCCATGAGGAGTTCCACCGAAAACCCCACTGGCACCGCCCGCATGCGTCAGCCACCGCTCAGCACAGCGCTTCGCGGTCCATAGGGAACTTCACGGAAGGTCGGAATGGGGCCGCCCGCATGCGCAAGCCACCACCCAGGTACATCGGGAGCTCCACCGATGGACCCAGTGGGACAGCCCGAATGCGTCAGCAACCATCCAGTACAGCGCTTCGTGGCCCCATAGGGAACTCTGCAAAACGACCCCAGTGGCACCGCCCGCATGCGTTCCCCCCCACCCGGTAAAGCGTTTCGTGGCCTCGTAGGGACCTCCAGTGGTCCCGCCGCATGCGACCCCCCTCTCAGTGCAGCACTTCGTGTGCCCATAGGGATCCCAGTGCAACGTTTCGTGGCCCCGTAGGGGGCACCATGGAAGCAACGGCCGCGTGCGTCGGCCGCTACCCAGTGCAGCGTTTCGCGGCCCCGTAGGGAGTTCCACAAAAAAGACCCCAGTGGCACCGCCCGCGTGCGTTTCCCCCAACCAGTACAGCGCTTCGTGGCTTCATCGGGAGCTCCAGCGAAGGGCACCGCCCGCATGCGTCCGCCGCGCCCAGTGCAGTAGCTCGTGGCCCATAAGGAGCCCCACCGAAGGCCCAAGCGGCACCGCCCGCATGCGTCCCCCCACACCCATCACGGCACGTCCCTCACAAGTTCTTGGCTGTATAGATAGGACACTCCACCGAAAGCGGCACGCACAACGCGCTATCCACAACTGCATCTGGTTGGGTCCTTCGCCGGGATTTTTTTGTTCTTTCAATCCGCGGCCCCAGAGGTCCGGATCGATTCCCCAAGGGTCGCCTTTCGCCCCAAGTTTGTTTTTGATGGTACTGGGAGCTCGCGAACGGCTCCCCAGGGCAGAGATCGAGGCAAAACCGCTGGTGGACCCCCCCTCGTTCTGATTGCGCCGAGGAAGAGATGCCGACTTCTCTGCCCCTCGAAGGCGAAGCCTGACCCTCTCCATCCCGAGCGGGCGGGGTCACGGAAAAGAGATAGAGGAAAAGACGAACAGGAGGAAGAGGACAATGAGGAGCAAAATAAACCCAGAATGCGTCAGCGATGCCGCAACACCCTCCAATCCCAAGTCCTTTCCTCCCCATCGACCTTTGCAAGATTTCCGCTCCACTGCGGGAAGCGCCCCCATCGAATGACGAACGCCCAATGGGTCCGCGGCTCTAGCGAAACCCGTTATGTGAGGCATCCGCCCGCCATCCTCCTACTTAGAAGATGCGCAGAGAAATCGGGTGATACAGTTCAAAGCATTTTCCAAACATAGCGCCGTTCTGAAACTTCTCTCTGCCTTCCACCCGTGTATACGTAGCACAATTCCAAAGTTGTGGTCGTAACGTTTGCTGGAATTTCAAGAGAGAGCAGTTGTGAAAAGAAGCCGCTCCCTTTCCATGCAATTCTTCCGAACCTGCGAACTTCGGGTAATAGAATTTCGGATAACAATATGAAAAATGCATTTTGAAAGCGCACAGGCTTCCATCCATGTAGCAATTTGTATGTTTCAAACCAGTGCGCGTGAACCCCAGGCCAGAGCCATACTTTGAGAATCGCCAGCCCTCTTACCGTGTGACTGTTGAGGCCTTTAAAACGGATGTGCGTGGCGACGAGGCGAAAACGACCAATCCTCAAACCTTCTGTGGGTTAAATGTTCAAATTCTTGAAAAACAAAGTGCCACGACGTCTCAAATCAAAAGCCCGGTCCGGCACATGGACGCGTCAGATGGTGCGACAGAAAGCAGGGGGGTAATTTGACGGAGTAGGGATGGAAGGGAGGAGGCGGAGGAGAAGGAGCACGAGGGGGAGGGGGAGGAGGACCAGAATGAACC